TGACACATGAATTTTACTCCGGAGACATTTGCAACCCTACTCATTTGACTTTCAGTAAGAAGTTGTCTAATCCAGTCACTTGCTTTGTTGAATAGTCTTAAAACTAATTAGATCTCGCTTTGTGGAATTTTCTCATTAGTTTCACACTCTTACTAGAAAGCTAAGGGAAAATTTCAACGACCAGCTAAAATCATGTTATCTCTCGTTATTGTTTTCTAAGACAAAATAGTTGTAGGACTAAGTACTTTGAGTTTTTCTGAATTATTCTTATCAGTAACCGTGTGTCGTCTGATATCAATTCTAATCTTGCTTAGTAGAAATTAAAACTCGAGAAAGAAAGGTGAGAAACAATAACTAGATCAAACACATTATGAAAAAAGATTAAGTATATTCTTATTGAGTTTTGTTGTCTTATCCTATGTTATGCTTAGTGATTATTGCTTGTCGTCACGTGCATCAATTGTAATTCTAGAATCTACAAGGCCACCATAAAAAAAATAAAAATAAAATTTAAGAATAAAACTCAAAATAATTTATATTCAACGCACGTGTGCATCAACTAGTAATATAAGTGAAAGAAGACAGAATTACTATTTCTGATTAGACGTTTAATAATTTGAAATAAGTACAGGCATGTGACTAACCACGTGCCAATATGATGATCACTTGGAACATCGGCAAACCAAAATCGAGCTCGGCATGATCATCATAAATAACACCTAACCAAACCGATGAATTCAGTTGAATAAGGTAAACCATTGCTAGTACCCGAGATATAATTCAACTCGAGCCAATATAAACTAGCTCAGAATATTCATAATTACAAAGATCACTCCATTCCGAAGGATTAGAGATATTATATTGATAAGAACGATTCACGAATAAACATTATCAAGGTGCTCGAGTGAAGGGATTGATAAGGAATGATGGGAAGGATCCTAGCATTCACAATCTGGCTAAATATAAAGTGTGCCACCTCACATTGTCAAATGAGAGAAACCCTAGAAGATGGTACAAACTACTATATATCTAGAGTAGGCTGAAATCAAAGGTACACACTACATTTCCTACAAGTAGCTCTGATTACATTTTTAATCTTTATTGATTTAAGCATTAAAGTGCTTCCAACCGACCCGTCCCAATTTCTAACAGTTTGTTCATTTTGTATGGGGTGCTATAGCATTTCTTGTTCATTTGATCCAAATCAAATCATATATTTTGTAAGAGGTTTTCCTACCCTTTGCGATAGAAAAGTGTACTCTTCATTTGGTACCCTAGTTAAATAATATGAACATCTCAAACTCAATTATTTGAATTTTGAAACCTCTAAATCTAGCCCTTCATGGAAATAAATTGTAAAACAAAAAGATTAACCAAAAGGAGAAAGTCCCTCACACCCTATTTTCCCATAACTTTAAAACTCTTCAATTATTTGTATTGATTGAATTTATCCAAATATTTTAATCGATGAATGAATCTCAAATCTGTTCAATGATTTTCAAATTTTCATATCACTTCATATATTTCTAACATATGAAAAATATTCTTGAGGTTCTTCTAATGTTCTTAAATTATTGAGAATAATTGTTTAGTAGGACGACCTATTTTTTCGTTTTGTTTACTTATGTTATTTTTGAGAAATTTTTGTAGAAACTAACCCAAATAATTTTGTAATTTGTTTTTTTTTTTGGATTTTGAATTATTTTAAGGTCCTTCGGAAGCCGCTATACGAAATTGGACTTAATTGTCAAAAAGTATATAGAAAAAAATATTTTATAAATAAGTTCACTTAAGACATAGAAAAACTTGAATACTTTTTTATTGTAAATAAGATCCCTTATTATATATATATAGGAGTTCTAACAATATAAAAACCTAAAATTTAGGAAAATCAAAACTCATAATAAATCCTCTCCATTTTTTTTAGGGACATGTTTCAAAGTTTTTGAGAAGTTTTTGAAATTTGACAACTAAAATTAAAGAATTTTAATTATCTTATCTTTAAAAGTAATAAAATCAAAAGATATTAATTTTACATTAGATTTAATTTAGTCACGTACATACATGTTAATATATATGCATATACACATATAATACTACAAAATCATATTATAAAACCTTGTTTCTATTACTCTTACACATTTTTTGCTATACTGTATTGATACACTTTAAATTTGTGTAATTCTTAAACCCTTGTTTCTATTACTCATACACTATTTTGCTATACTATATCAACACACTTTAAATTTTTGTAAATATACCATAATCATATAATTCTTGAACATTTTTTTCTATTGGTTATTGTAGTTGATTTTTTGTCGAGATAAATCACATGTATTTGATATTATGATTGTGGATGTACAAAAATTAGACATTTAATTTCATAATTCTTTTAGCGTCAAACTATATTGATACACTTCATATGACTTCAAATTATAAAGTATTTTATGTACACCGTGTAATTATGAATTGAACAAATTCATAGTATCTATTAGTCCCCAAAAAATTACCACGAAAATAACATACAGAAGAAGAAGAAAACACAATTTATAATTCAAATAATAGCCATTATTGTAGTCTTTAGTATTCAAAAACAAAACTGTAAAAAAAAAAAATTCATAAAACACAAAAATATTAAAATTAATAAATAATTATTTGAAAGATAAAAAGTTAACAAAAAAGTGACCATTCAACACAATAAGTCGGAACGAATACAAAAATTTTGAAAAAAAAAAAACCTAAAACTAACTAGTAGTTTGTGGAACAAATAAAATAAAAAAAAATGAAAGAAAACAAAAGTTCAACTTGATAATATATGAACGTTGTAGAAGAAGAAATAAAATATATTTGAGCTTTTTTGAACGTTAATGGCTAATAATTTAGAAAGAAGAAAAGAGAGATGTTTACTGGCAACGATAATGGCAAAAAAATTTTAAAATTCAAAATGACAGAGATATACACAATCAACTTTATATGCAAATCTTGTGCTAATATAATTCTTCCACTATATTAGGAAATTTTTAATACAATAAAACAAAATCAAAAGTCTAATTAACATCCAAAATAAATATGTATGATTTAAGGAATGACAAATATGTCAAAAGAAAATCACAAAAAGTTAAATTGTGTACTTTGACAATTTTTTTATTTTTTTATTTTTTTTACTTGGACACAATTAAGTTTTAAAAATAAATATTTAAAGACCTAACATTAAGAGTTATGTACTTTTTGATAAATTACTCTAATTTCGTGTACTTCTTTATAATTTTCTCAATATTTTAGGGTGTGTTTGTTAACCCAAATTCAGCACTTAAAATGAATACATTTGACACTTATTAATTAAGCTTATTTGATAACTAAAATTTTAACTCTCTTAATATATTAAATGCTATTTTAAAATAGGCTACAATATTAAGTAGAAGATCTTTTACTTAATTTTAAAAACTAAAAGTGCTCAGTAAAATTATCTTTAATAATATTTACAATATAACAATTATACCACGAAATATTTTACAATCATATTAAAACTTTAATTAGTGTTATTTCTAAAACTCTTAACCTATCTATCCTCCTTATCAATTGTCTTCTTCAGATAATAGATAATAGGTGTTCTTTTTTTTTTCTTCGCTCATCTATTGCAAATAAACATGTTAAAAAACACACCCACATTCAATGCACACACGCACACATAGACATGCACCGCACACACACCCCACCTACCCACCCAAACTATCCACACACAATCACAAATTGCACACACACACACATATTATCAATGAGATTCAATTTATTCATTTTTTTAATTCTATTATTTATTCATTTTTTTATTTATTGTTATCCGATTATTTATTAGTTATTGCTTTTTTTATCAGATGTTATTGTTTATTGATTGTGTAATTTAATTTTTTATTGTTCACTTATTGTAATTCGATTATTTATTTGTCGTTGTTCTTTTTCTTTTGATCAGATGTTATTGCTTAGTTATTGTGTTATTGAATTTGTTATTGATTTGATATATTGTCATTTTTTATTAGATAAAAACATATTTTATAAATATTAAAATTAAAGAATGGAAGGGTAAAACTGAAAATTAATTTAATTTCATGCGTTAGTTTTGTGTAATTATCAAACAGTTTAATTTAATTCAATACTTAAATTTCAAAAGATACAGGTATGTCACGTCAAAGCAGTGTTTTAAAACCCGGCCCCGGCCCGGCTGGTTGACTCGGTGAACCGGTCCCCTAACCGGGCCGATTTTGTAATTGGATCGTTTAAGCAAAGAACCCAGAATAAAACCGGTGAACCGGTCAAAAAATCGATAACCCGTGAAAACCGGACCGGGTTTACAAAATCGGCCGATTTTGTTCCTATAGTATAAATATGTTTTTTTTTTTACATTTTTGTGTCTTTTTCTTTTCCCTTTCTGTTTTGCCCTAAATCCTAAATCATTCGTTCAGTGTTTGTTAACTCAAAAATTAAGTGAATGCAATTAAGTGATTCAAGTTTGAGGGTGGAGGCTGGGCTGTTAATTGAATGCATTGGTTTGTTAATTGAATGCAATTAAGTGATTCAGGCTTGATAACTTTTTTTGATTTAATATATATTAAACATGTTATTTTTATAACTATTTTAGTTTTTTAGTCTATTTATCATCATTAATAATTATTTTTTATTTTTTTATTTTATCACCGGTTCGACCAGTAACCCATGAATCAGAAATTCATTGAAACTATGCGTCAAAGTCCTTAATATGTTAAACTTGGTGTCCGGACCGGGTTTAAAAACTATGCGTCAAAGTACTTAATATGTTAAACTTGGGCCTTGGGGGCTTCAATATTGGGCTCATCTCAGCCTGTCCACTGGCCCAATCACACCAAAATCGAGTCCACATCCCAGTGGCACTTTCGTAGTTCGCGCGATTTGAGAGGGGCCATTTAATCCAGTCATCTCCTTTTACATACGAGCTATCACTAGGGTTTCAGCAAACAACAGCGGCAGCCATGGTTCTCAAGTACGTCTCTCTCTCTCTCTCTCTCTCTCTCTATCTCTCTCTATGAATACCACTAAATATGTATGTAGATATCAAAATGGTTGAATTCAAACATGTATATCTTTATATCTGTTCATTTTTATATGTATGTGTATTTGTACGAAACACTTGCCAGTGATATATGGGAGATTTACTAAGGGATTGTGCTTTTAATTACTGGGAAACAGGACGGACTTTGATACAGCCAGAGAAACCGTGTTATCTGGTGTTTTGATTATATATTATGATTTTGTTTCTGGAAGATCTGATAAGGAAAGGCTTTGTGTAATACAAGGTAGTAAGAATGGGAAAAAAGGTCGGAGTCGATCCCAAAACATGTTTCTAAAGAACTCAAAGCAGAAATATGCGGATGGAGTTTACTTCGGCTTCAGTAGTAGTTGGATGTTACCTTGTTGGACTTATTCATACATAAGCAATCTATGCCGTAGTGGAAAGTACATTATCTGCCCATTTTAGTGTCACCTACCTCTGGACTATAAAACAGAAAACCTTAATCTAAGTGACTCCAAATACTGTGAGAAGAGTTGCAAAAAACTGAGGAGGACAGTAGATCCATCTTCAAAAGGGACAGAATGTGATGGTTAAATTTTTTCTACTACTCCTTAAAACAATACCTTTCTCATCTTCAGGAGATATTGGATCATGTTCTTGTAATCAAACTATTGGAAGTGTTTGCTGCCTAAACAAGGAGATGTCTCTCTTTTTAAATGCAATATATTATATTGGTGCTTTTCCAGTATAGTGTTGAGGCCATGATTAATTGAGAGAGCTTGCCTTTGTTTTATGATTAAGGTTGTTGTATCAGTCATAATCTTTAGAGGGCATGAGGTGTGTCGGAAGAGTGGGCCAAGTTACATGACACTCATGGTTTACACAAAACATGTAATGATATTGGATCGGGAGGTGTCGAGTTGTACCGACATAGGATAACCCATTGAACTATTTTTGTCTAGCTAATGTGTTTGGAGATCCAATCATTGATTTGGAGATGTTCTCCAAGATGCTTGCGATATTATGTGTTGAGTTGATTTTGGGGAACTTATACAACTAATGATCTATTCTTGACCTGCCTCTCATCCAACGTGAATGCATGAGGATTAGATATTTCTAGAGTTAAATGATTTAGTTTGAGATGTAATATCAACATGACCATTTATTAAGGAGCTAAACTATGCGATACTAGTTGTCTGATGCACTTGGTGAGCAAAATTCTTTATGGAAAAATGATAACGAGGTTTTCGAAATATTTTGCAAGTTTCTTACTTTTTTTCAGGAAAAGGAGATGATATACAGATCTTTTGCTAGTTTCTCAGCATTTTTATAAAAAAGAGATAATATTTAGTTTGTAAGACGTGAGATGAAGCTGTGGTAGTTTTTTGGCAACTTAATTATGCCTTCTTTTTCATGAAGTCTTGCTAATGTCTTAAGGTCTATATTGATTCTTCTCATTTAGAGCCATATTATGAACTTTGTGAATGTGGATGTTTAATTTTATGATGAATTTGCATGATACATCGCCTTACAATGATGCCCTTTTGTTTCTTTCCTCTTGCACTAGTTAGTATATTCTCCTGCCCTCTGAACTTCCATTTCTAAGAGTCCGTATATGATCTTGTCATTCCAGGACAGAACTCTGTCGTTTCAGCGGGGCCAANCTCTGAACTTCCATTTCTAAGAGTCCGTATATGATCTTGTCATTCCAGGACAGAACTCTGTCGTTTCAGCGGGGCCAAGATATATCCTGGGAGGGGCATCAGATTTGTTCGTGCAGATTCGCAGGTAATCCTAATGCTGATATTTTGTCCACTCAATCTTTATAGTCATTGTTCCATTTTCTTCTTTTCTCTGTTTTGGTGGGAGTATGTAATTTTCTCTCCTCATCTATTGATGGTGTTTTCGTGCACACATTGTTGCCTTTAGGTGTTTTTATTTGCCAACTCAAAATGCAAGAGGTACTTTCACAACCGACTGAAGCCTTCAAAGCTTACTTGGACGGCCATGTACAGGAAGCAGCATAAGAAGGTGAATGACTTTTGACATTTCAAAAGTTTTCTTTTTTGTTCTGTATTACTCTCAAATGCCATTACATTGAGCATCTTATGGTTACACCGCTTTAATGAGTAGAGATCTAAGTTACATAGAGAGGGAGCAAGAAGTCCACAGCGAGTGTAAAAGAAGAAAAGAATAAAATTTTGTTAGAAAAGAGTGCCTCAAAAGTATGTGCAATATTATTAGCATATGCTTTATAGTAACCGTTCTATTATTGCATTATCTACCAGCCTAATACTCCATCAAAATGAGGTAAAAATAGAATTTAGCACTTTATTTTGGCTCAAAAGGGCTATAAGTTCATCAGACAATATACAGCCAAACATGAGAATTCCAAAGAAAAATATTTGCAGGTAATGGACTTGATGGAAGAAATGGGACAGTTTATTACTGAGAGAGGATCTTTTTTTTTTTTTTGTTGGGGGGNACATTATTTTCTAGTATATCCCCTTTTGATTTATTTGACATAATTCTATTAATTTTATTGGGTATATTTTTTATTCATTGTATTGGATAGTATTCTGGCACTATATGTACATATCAATGGTCACGCCTCCCCAAGTAAACGCATCATCTACAATCTTGTGTGTTCCATTTTAGTTCTGCATGTGTCTTCTTTTATATGTCATTGTCATCTCATCTTTCCATGATTNGTATTGGATAGTATTCTGGCACTATATGTACATATCAATGGTCACGCCTCCCCAAGTAAACGCATCATCTACAATCTTGTGTGTTCCATTTTAGTTCTGCATGTGTCTTCTTTTATATGTCATTGTCATCTCATCTTTCCATGATTTTTTTTTTTGTTATTTTGGTTGATTAATTGGATGTTAAAGTTTAACTAACCGCAGAATTGGAGGCTTCGTCTGTTGGACTAGACCAGGGTACTTTGGGCTTCATTGTGGATGAAAAATGGTGAGATATAGTTGTATTTTATTGTCATATATGAATACACATAGATGCATGCGTGTGTGTATTCTTAGTGAATTTTTTTTTTTTTTTTTAACTTATTGACCATTTATATTTGTTTCTGTTTTAGTTCTAAAGATTGATTTATACAACAACAAAGGATTATGGAGTTTGTGTTTTGGAGTCTAGACCAGTGTTTTAAAACCCGGTCCGGCCCGGCGGGTTGACCCGGTGAACCGGTCCCCTAACCGGGCCGGTTTTGTAATTAGACCGTTTGAGTAAAGAACCGGTCAAAAAATCGGTGAATCGGTCAAAAAACCGGTAATCCGTGAAAATCGGACCGGGTTTACAAAATCGGCCGGTTTTGTTCCTTTAGTATAAATATGTTTTTTTTTTAATATTTTTGTGTCTTTTTCTTTTCCCCTTCTGTCTTGCCCTAAATCCTAAATCATTCGTTCAGTGTTTGTTAACTCAAAAATTAAGTGAATGCAATTAAGTGATTCAAGTTTGAGGGTGGAGGCTGAGCTGTTAATTGAATGCATTGGTTTGTTAATTAAATGCAGTTAAGTGATTCAGGCTTGATAACTTTGTTTGATTTAATATATATTAAACATGTTANTGATTCAAGTTTGAGGGTGGAGGCTGGGCTGTTAATTGAATGCATTGGTTTGTTAATTGAATGCAATTAAGTGATTCAGGCTTGATAACTTTTTTTGATTTAATATATATTAAACATGTTATTTTTATAACTATTTTAGTTTTTTAGTCTATTTATCATCATTAATAATTATTTTTTATTTTTTTATTTTATCACCGGTTCGACCAGTAACCCATGAATCAGAAATTCATTGAAACTATGCGTCAAAGTCCTTAATATGTTAAACTTGGTGTCCGGACCGGGTTTAAAAACTATGCGTCAAAGTACTTAATATGTTAAACTTGGGCCTTGGGGGCTTCAATATTGGGCTCATCTCAGCCTGNGGTTCGACCAGTGACCCATGAATCAGAAATTCATTGAAACTATGCGTCAAAGTCCTTAATATGTTAAACTTGGTGTCCGGACCAGGTTTAAAAACTATGCGTCAAAGTCCTTAATATGTTAAACTTGGGCCTTGGGGGCTTCAATATTGGGCTCATCTCAGCCTGTCCACTGGCCCAATCACACCAAAATCGAGTCCACATCCCAGTGGCACTTTCGTAGTTCGCGCGATTTGAGAGGGGCCATTTAATCCAGTCATCTCCTTTTACATACGAGCTATCACTAGGGTTTCAGCAAACAACAGCGGCAGCCATGGTTCTCAAGTACGTCTCTCTCTCTATCTCTCTCTATGAATACCACTGAATATGTATGTAGATATCAAAATGGTTGAATTCAAACATGTATATCTTTATATCTGTTCATTTTTATATGTATGTGTATTTGTACGAAACACTTGCCAGTGATATATGGGAGATTTACTAAGGGATTGTGCTTTTAATTACTGGGAAACAGGACGGACTTTGATACAGCCAGAGAAACCGTGTTATCTGGTGTTTTGATTATATATTATGATTTTGTTTCTGGAAGATCTGATAAGGAAAGGCTTTGTGTAATACAAGGTAGTAAGAATGGGAAAAAAGGTCGGAGTCGATCCCAAAACATGTTTCTAAAGAACTCAAAGCAGAAATATGCGGATGGAGTTTACTTCGGCTTCAGTAGTAGTTGGATGTTACCTTGTTGGACTTATTCATACATAAGCAATCTATGCCGTAGTGGAAAGTACATTATCTGCCCATTTTAGTGTCACCTACCTCTGGACTATAAAACAGAAAACCTTAATCTAAGTGACTCCAAATACTGTGAGAAGAGTTGCAAAAAACTGAGGACAGTAGATCCATCTTCAAAAGGGACAGAATGTGATGGTTAAATTTTTTCTACTACTCCTTAAAACAATACCTTTCTCATCTTCAGGAGATATTGGATCATGTTCTTGTAATCAAACTATTGGAAGTGTTTGCTGCCTAAACAAGGAGATGTCTCTCTTTTTAAATGCAATATATTATATTGGTGCTTTTCCAGTATAGTGTTGAGGCCATGATTAATTGAGAGAGCTTGCCTTTGTTTTATGATTAAGGTTGTTGTATCAGTCATAATCTTTAGAGGGCATGAGGTGTGTCGGAAGAGTGGGCCAAGTTACATGAAACTCATGGTTTACACAAAACATGTAATGATATTGGATCGGGAGGTGTCGAGTTGTACCGACATAGGATAACACATTGAACTATTTTTGTCTAGCTAATGTGTTTGGAGATCCAATCATTGATTTGGAGNACACTCATGGTTTACACAAAACATGTAATGATATTGGATCGGGAGGTGTCGAGTTGTACCGACATAGGATAACCCATTGAACTATTTTTGTCTAGCTAATGTGTTTGGAGATCCAATCATTGATTTGGAGATGTTCTCCAAGATGCTTGCGATATTATGTGTTGAGTTGATTTTGGGGAACTTATACAACTAATGATCTATTCTTGACCTGCCTCTCATCCAACGTGAATGCATGAGGATTAGATATTTCTAGAGTTAAATGATTTAGTTTGAGATGTAATATCAACATGACCATTTATTAAGGAGCTAAACTATGCGATACTAGTTGTCTGATGCACTTGGTGAGCAAAATTCTTTATGGAAAAATGATAATGAGGTTTTCGAAATATTTTGCAAGTTTCTTACTTTTTTTCAGGAAAAGGAGATGATATACAGATCTTTTGCTAGTTTCTCAGCATTTTTATAAAAAAGAGATAATATTTAGTTTGTAAGACGTGAGATGAAGCTGTGGTAGTTTTTTGGCAACTTAATTATGCCTTCTTTTTCATGAAGTCTTGCTAATGTCTTAAGGTCTATATTGATTCTTCTCATTTAGAGCCATATTATGAACTTTGTGAATGTGGATGTTTAATTTTATGATGAATTTGCATGATACATCGCCTTACAATGATGCCCTTTTGTTTCTTTCCTCTTGCACTAGTTAGTATATTCTCCTGCCCTCTGAACTTCCATTTCTAAGAGTCCGTATATGATCTTGTCATTCCAGGACAGAACTCTGTCGTTTCAGCGGGGCCAAGATATATCCTGGGAGGGGCATCAGATTTGTTCGTGCAGATTCGCAGGTAATCCTAATGCTGATATTTTGTCCACTCAATCTTTATAGTCATTGTTCCATTTTCTTCTTTTCTCTGTTTTGGTGGGAGTATGTAATTTTCTCTCCTCATCTATTGATGGTGTTNTTTTTGGGGGGGGGGGGGGGGAAGCAGCACATGGAGTAATATAAACTGTCAGCAAACTGTCAGCAGCAGGAAAAGAGGGGTAGAATCAGTACTCTCATCATTAGAAATCATCATCCATGTTGTAGAGTCCAGGGTTCCAAGTATCGGCCGAGTCTGATATGACTCGCCTCTACTGAAACGATATGATACACCTGACACTAAATCTTAGTGTTACTGTCAGCAGCGGGAAAAGAGTGGTAGAGTCAGTACTCTCATCATCAGAAATCATTCATCCATGTTGTAGAGTCCAGGGTTCAAAGTATCAGCCGAGTCCTCTACTGAAACGATAACGATACACCTTACACTAAATCTCTGAGTCTTACTCGAATTGGAGACTACTCGGTCAAATTGGACTTAACTTAGTTAACTAAGACCAACACGTTACCAAGTCGAACTATTAGTGTTGAAAATACACAAACCAGTCATAAACAACAAGCCATTGGCTAAATCGGTAGAAGGACAAAAAAGAAAAGGATGAAGGCAACACCCACACAAAAGATGAACAAATCTGTGAGAAATCCAAATGCAAAGTAAACTACGATCAATTTTTCAGTTTCCCACAAAGTACCCATATGATATTCTGCAAGAAGAAGAAGAAGAAATTGCAAGCAAAACTGGAAAATCAAGCCCCTACAACTGCAAGGGAGTGTTGCTCTTCTTCCTCTTCTCTTCAGTTATTGCCCAGTAGTCACTTTGTGACAATTGATTGCAACTAGGCCTGGGAATTGGAGCTCCGATAATGCTTCGATTTCTATCAATTTTTCGCTGAGATTTCTATCAAGTAAAACTAACTTTTAATTGATCTATTGCATTATAATGATATATTGAATTAATCAATAATAATATTTAGACTGAATTTGATGTCCTAATCTATTGTTATAATTGAATTGGTGATAAATCTCATACAAATTGTGGCTCGATATGTTCTTAAATATTTAAATTGATCATTAATGATAATAAATATTTTTGGAAACACCTTTATATTTTATTTTCATAAATGTTTAATGTGAAAGATGATATATTTTAGACATAGATGCATGGATGATAATATTTTTATATTATAATTTTTTATGATTTTTTTTAAAAAAATTGGACTTTATCTAGCGTGTTGTGCGTATTAGCCAACACCACAACCGATGTGTATCAGTGCCCTCTGAGTTCGAAAGCCGATACCGCGACCTTAAACCATTGTAGAGTCACTGCTGAACTTGTTGCAGCCATGCAAAAACTAGGTCCTTTCTATCTCCTGTTTTAGTCAATTCCCACAAATCCTTCCCCAAAGATCATCAAATACAAATCAAGTGGTGTGTTCATTGCCTCTCACTTGAAAATTCTAATATCCAAGCAAATTGATGTTTGAAGGAAAATCCGTTGATTCAACTATTGCAAATTATTTGTAATCTGTTCACGAAATGTGGATGGATTTGTCTTATTACAAAGATGTAGGCATAGTTCCGGGAAGTGGCACGTGTGAGAGACATCATGGCCTGGTCAAAGTCATTTCTGACAAGCTCCTGGGGTTTGTACTTGAATGTGCAGGAGAAACCTAGTGCTCAAGTCCATATATTGTGATGTGTAGCTGTAGAAACTTGTTTGGACTTTTGAGGTTCAGATTTCGATGGAAATTTTTTGCGTATTGTTCACTATTACATTGATCTTCTTCCTGAAAAGTTTTAAGAAGGGAAAAGATCGATTTTGTTATTTTCCCTCTTTCAAATCATATCTATCACTTAAATGATAAATGGCTCTTTTGCTGACAGTATAATCCTTTAATAATGGTTGATATTATTTCTGGGTGCTTAAGCCTAATGTACTGCCTTTGAGTTGAAATTTGCAGGATATTGCCCAAGAGGCTGTCAAGAAGAGGCGCCGTACCACAAAGAAGCCTTACTCTAGGTCCATAGTTGGTGCCACTCTGGAGGTGATCCAGAAGAAGAGAACTGAAAAGCCTGAAGTTCGAGATGCTGCCAGGGAGGCTGCTCTACGGTCTGTTTATGTGCATTTGCAATGGGTTCTGTTTTTAGATCTAATTCTTCCATTAGTTTTCCTGGCGATGTCATGTAATTTAAAATTTGTGGGATTCTACAAATGTTGAGTCTAAGATTATTAGCGAGTATGTGAAACTTATGCCCACTGACCTATTTGTTTTGTGCAGTGAAATTAAGGAGCGGATCAAGAAAACAAAGGATGAAAAGAAAGCAAAGAAGGCAGAGGTGATGGCCAAGGTACAGAAGACTGGTAGCAAGGGTAACATGCCCAAGGGTGGTGCACCGAAAGGTCCTAAACTTGGAGGAGGTGGTGGAAAGCGTTGAGCATTGTGCTAGTTATTGTTAAATGTATCGGAGCAGCGATGTTGGGTTTTCTAAAAGTTGGAAAGTTAATTTTGATGTCGGCAAAAATATTTGCATTTTTTTCTTGACACTTGGTAAGATGAGAATTTTGTAGTTCTCGATTGGATTACTTTTGATTGGAATGCAGTTCTCGATGCACTTGCGGATTTAGTAGGAGTGGCTGCCCTTGGTGCACGATGCTGTTGGCAGGACTTTTGATTTCTAAAGTTTCCATTTCTCAGTTTTCTTACCCCCTCTTGTTCAAACAAAGTTATGTGTGGGGTTTTGTTGGTTTTATCTTTATAGACTGTCCTTTACATATTTATGTCCCTCCGCTGCTGTGCTCTTTTCGTTTCTTCTGATGCCAATCGAGGTTTAGAATCAAGAGGCTGGGGGTGATTTTGCGATCAATGCAGTAGCGACAGTCCTGTGTTGACTACAAGATAATGAAGACCATAACTAATAATGTTTTTGCATTTGTGGCCAAGGTACCAAGAAGCTTATTATAAACTATTAATCAGGTCCAATATGGTAGCGTTGATAAGAAAACAAGTAAGAGAAATAGTAGAAGCCTGTGTCGATAGTCCTAATAAACTCCCACTGCCATGGAAGCAGTTGAGTATATTCAGTTCTCCATTACTGGCTCAGCTCGATCAAAAGTATAGTGTCAATCCTCCATAACTAACTCTGCTAGAAGAAAAGCTACTCCCNGGTGGGGGTGATTTTGCGATCAATGCAGTAGCGACAGTCCTGTGCTAGTTCTGTGTTGACTACAAGATAATGAAGACCATAACTAATAATGTTTTTGCATTTGTGGCCAAGGTACCAAGAAGCTTATTATAAACTATTAATCAGGTCCAATATGGTAGCGTTGATAAGAAAACAAGTAAGAGAAATAGTAGAAGCCTGTGTCGATAGTCCTAATAAACTCCCACTGCCATGGAAGCAGTTGAGTATATTCAGTTCTCCATTACTGGCTCAGCTCGATCAAAAGTATAGTGTCAATCCTCCATAACTAACTCTGCTAGAAGAAAAGCTACTCCCAATCTTTCGGTAAGGCATGATTTGATGTCTGTGGCCACACTTCACTAACTGAAATTGGTCCATGCATGAACAGCTTAGCTGGAGGCCCCTCTGAAGGATAAGAAGGCGAAACTCCCCAGTAAGGCGACATCACCGGATTGTAGTCGTCCACGTTGAAGACATAGTTGTACTGAGCTATCTGATGGCCACTTGTTCCCCTCTGCTTGCCGGAGCCATGAGTCGCGACTGCTGTGCTTTCAGCAGTCCCCTCACCGGAGATATCTGTAAAGCCTGCGGACCTTGGCTTCTTCGTGGCTTGCTCCCTGAGGATGGCTCTCAATGCCATAACCTTATCATAATTGATGAAACAAAATTAGGATAGCTTAATTTACGTACACATGCAATTCAATATCATAGATTCACATGGGAAGCTATCTTGACCCGACCCATTGACAACCATACGATTCGACTAACTACAACAAAATCCCAAAATCGAGGGCAGAATTTGATCAAGAAATAGAAAAGGATAAATATCATAATTACTCCCTAAATTTTGTCTCCAGTTTAAATTTGATTATTGAATTTTCAATTGTTCTAATTTAGTCCCAAAAGCTATCAATTTTGTCTCAATTAAGTCATTCCGTCTATGTCTACCGTTAGATATCAAGTGTTAAATCTTATTTTTCGTTTTGATTTAACAATAGAAATGAACATAATGACTTAATTGAGACAAAATTGATAATTGAGAGATTAAATTTGCACAAGTGAAAGTTCAAAAACCAAATTTAAACCCGGGACAATTTAGGTTTGATTTAATTGCAACTATATCAGAGTTGTTTGAAAAATAAACAAGAATTGCATGGATAATTGGACTCGTTAAATCTCCCCAAGAGCAACAGAAATGTGTTATAAAAAAATGAAAAACAACAAAGAAGTTATTCACAAGAGCACTGCTATTGAGACATAATTTAGAGACACAAGGTGAGAACTTAATGATTTTAGTCATTAGAATGTCAGTGAGTTTCAACATTGAATGCATTTTACTATTAATCCAATGATCATAATACGTTAAATTCCAAAATTATATTCTCAAGTTATGTCCCAATAGTATTAATGTATTCACAAATCTCATAGAAGTCTATGTATTGTGAAAGACATTAGTTTCTTCTAGCCAATTGAATACTCATGGAGAGAAGGAAAACGGCGGGAAAAAATATAGGTTATTTCCATTTTTGTGATGGTTTCCATAATGAACCTTTGACAAATGTAAGAATCTCATTTGAACATCAATAAAAACAGGAAATTATCTCAATGTCAAGCTAATAGAATCTCAAAAAATCAAGTTTGATGCACTATTTCTCTTAAGTAATGTAAGTGTGTCATGATTCATATTTAATATATTTATGTATGTACACATATAAATGTATTACTCTATACATGCTATTATAATGGGAAAATAAAAAAGTTGAACCCAAAAAAAAAAACTTCGTTTTACTTTTAGAAAAACAAAACTAAAAGTTTACTTAGAAACTTGTTAGAAATGTGTTTTTTTTTTTGGGTTCAATCTTAATGTTAGTTGTACATATATAAACATATCAAAGATTTAACAAAAGAAAACCTAAAAACGGATTACATGCCATGCATGGAGACTCATGAGAGAGGGATTCAAGTTTTGGAGTTATGTAACCTCCTCTTGGAGCTCCTGCTTCTCCTTATGCACAACATCAAGTTCCAGTTTAACTGCATCATATAAGCGCTCAAGCTGCTTAGTCTTCCACCTAGCCCTCCTGTTTTGGAACCAAACACTAATTTGCCGAGGCTGCAGCCCTAGCTCCTTTGCCAGCTTCATCTTTCTATCTTGGTCGAGCTTCATATCCTCCTGAAAACTACTCTCCAATGACTCTAACTGATCACTTGTCAATCTCTTCTTCTTCTCTTCATTCCCATAGTTGTTCGTGTCCATCACTGGAAGGACTGCACTCTGAGTCTGCACCGGAAGCTTCATCTCTATGGATGCAATAAAAAAAGAAAGAAAAATCAAGTTGCATGTTCAGAAACCGCATATTTCAATGGCAAAAAAATGATTCTTAATGGCTGTTGTCAAAGTTAGTGCTTAGGCATGTAATTATGGCTTCTTACTAACCAACTGGACGATAGTCTATTTGAGAGTGTCATTTTTGCCTAACAACCATGCTAATCTTGTCTGTATGGGTCCAATTTTATCCACAAATGGATTGTTGAATAATATTAATTGTTGTTTCCAATTCTTTAGAAGAAAACGAGTTTGGATCTTCCTTTCTCTCTCTCTCCACAAAAGGGGATGTCTGATGACTGAGGATTGTGAAAGGGCAAGACTTTGAGATTACCTGGATATTGGTCATACTTGGAGTTGTAGACAAAGCCGAATGAGTTATCTGGTCGAGGAACCAAGGGTTTAAGATTGCCATTCCAGTGATTCCACTCCATGTTTTGGACCCTCTTTTGCTCTTTCTTTCTCTCCCCACAAGGAAACAATCAACCCAAAAGCTATATCTAATATATGGGTCTTGGTCTGGGTCGAGTGGATCGGACTGGGACCAGAAAGCTCTGAGAGAGAGAGAGAGAGAGACGGGGCGTGGGTTGGAAGTTTAGAGGTTTCCTAGTCCCCTTTTGGTGAAACAAAATGAATTAAGGAGAGTATAAATACCCAAAAGAAAAAAAAAATAGGGGGCGCATTCAATGCGGTTTCCATAGATTCGAAGATGATTAGATTTACTTAGTCTTATTTCTTTAAATAGAAAGACTATTTTTAGTACCTCAGTCAAACCCGGAGTTTTTTCTTCTCTGTTGAGTGTTGAATGCAACCAGTGTACAGTGTATGTGTAGGGTTCTGTACTTTCCTTTTGGGTGCAACTGATAAGCAGTATTGTCTCTCCCTTCCCTCAGTCTCAAACTCTCCCCGCATGCGTGTGTGCGTGTGTGTGTGTGTGAGAGAGATAGAGAGAGGCATGTTGTCGGTTGGGTGAAAGGAAGATAGAAATGGGGATGAATGGTCGCCATCTGGTCCCCTTATACCTACCTTCATGCAACTGATGAGTGATGACACACTATGCCTTCCCTTTCTCACGCCTTCTCCTGACTACCCCTCTCTCTCTCTCTCTCTAGATGAGAGCAAAGCAGACATTGGGCTTTTTAGGATGGTGGCATGCAACCATTACTACACATTGCCATCTCAAACCAACACCAGAAAATGACAAAATTTTCCAACTGATAAAATGACANGCCTACCCCTCTCTCTCTCTCTCTCTAGATGAGAGCAAAGCAGACATTGGACTTTTTAGGATGGTGGCATGCAACCATTACTACACATTGCCATCTCAAACCAACACCAGAAAATGACAAAATTTTCCAACTGATAAAATGACAAAGTCCAAAGAAAGCTAGAAAAAAAAGGTGGTCTTTGCTTGGTTGAACAAAAAAGCCACATTACTCTTCGATCATGACCCATTATTGGTTAGCCCACTTGCCTCTTACCCTCTTTTTTTTGGCTTGGACACCTCTTTCATCATTTGTTGGCAGTGGATATTATCAATTTAGCAAACGTTTTCAGATCCAACATTATTATAGAAAAAATAATTTTTCAATATCGTACCTTCTTTTGACATCATGATGCAATATTTCATATTTTACTTGCATTATTTTCACAATGACTAGCTATAAATAAATCAAATCTAAATGTACTGCTACAAATTATGTTTTATGAAACCCGGTGGTCTATCGTTGCCCACAAAAGAGAGAGGGCCTCCAAGAAAATTATAGTCCTTGCGGAAACATCCGATAAAATTGGAAGGAAAATGCTATTTAGACCTAATTTGAGGACCTAATCTAATGATTGTATTAAAATTACATCATTAGATCCCCAAATTAAATCTTCACATAAAATCCCAATAGTATTGTTCAAATTGGAATGATAATTAAAAGATTTTCATGACTCTGCACAAGTATGACACGTGCAAATCAAAAAATTGCTACCGGAGAACTGTAGAATACACAGCACACGACACTATTAAACACAGTTTAAGTTTGCATAGGCATAAATTTCAAGCTGCTAAAAGTACCCATCTCCAGAAGAACATAATGAAAATGACAGTATAATTTTTGCGCAGGCGGCGCCGAAACCAGGACAATTTCTCCAGAGTAAGGGTCCCCCTCTTCTTCAAGCAGGTATTTAATGGAAGGAAAGCCATGGAATTCAAGTTCCAGTGGACAGAGAGTTCTGCACCATATGATAAAATTCATAAATGCAGTACTTCAAAGAGCATCTCTTAATTCACTTGGCCTGTTATGAAAGCAGACTCTCATAAACCGAAAGAGATATTCTCTAATACATTTTCTACTCCAATATAATATATTGAAGTTGTGTCAACCTGCTAATGTATTTCTCAAAACAACAATATTACACTCACTGCCTTTATGCCTCACTTATGTTCACCATTTTTATATGAGTCGATCGATAGATCGGTGAATCTTTCTATTATTGTCTCACGTCAAACAATAAAAAGATGGTGCGAACAGCATTATTTTTTNTCGATCTATATGAGTCGATCGATAGATCGGTGAATCTTTCTATTATTGTCTCACGTCAAACANTTTCTCAAAACAACAATATTACACTCACTGCCTTTATGCCTCACTTATGTTCACCATTTTTATATGAGTCGATCGATAGATCGGTGAATCTTTCTATTATTGTCTCACGTCAAACAATAAAAAGATGGTGCGAACAGCATTATTTTTTTTTTTTCAAAAATAGAATATCTCCTCTACAGGATATCTAGACCAAGGTTACATGTGTAAATTTGGGACACCACACTACGAGACTTAATATGAACACAAAAATGACATGACCAATTAATACAAACAAAAAATTGATCGGTTTAGTCTCAACCACTAATACCCGACCCATTTAACTGCCTGGTTTTGCAAAATAAGGATATCTCCAGTTTTTTTTCCCTTTCCCACTTTAGTAGGGACCACCTGTATGTTGTAGAATTGGTTGAGAAAAAAAGTAACCAAGCCTCACAATNTGAGGATATCTCCAGTTTTTTTTTCCCTTTCACACTTTAGTAGGGACCACCTGTATGTTGTAGAATTGGATGAGAAAAAAAGTAACCAAGCCTCACAATTTTTGGTTCACAGATGGCACTCAAATGATACCATTACGACACGAATTCAATTCACAAAACTTGAATACAACACGACCTCACCATAATATAAAAAGACCCGAATATTGAAAATAAAAATATGACAAGACCAGGACACACCACTCAACAGACACAGTAGAAATTCATCTACTGCATCCTATATGTAAAAACATGTCANTAAGGATATCTCCAGTTTTTTTTCCCTTTCCCACTTTAGTAGGGACCACCTGTATGTTGTAGAATTGGTTGAGAAAAAAAGTAACCAAGCCTCACAATTTTTGGTTCACAGATGGCACTCAAATGATATCATTACGACACGAATTCAATTGACACAACTTGAATACAACACGACCTCACCATAATATAAAAAGACCCGAACATTGAAAATAAAAATATGACAAGACCAGGACACGACTCAACAGACACAGTAGAAATTCATCTACTGCATCCTATATGTAAAAACATGTCAACCGAGTACACAGTTGGAATTATTTTAGTATCTCAAAGAATTTGCAAAGATGATCGTCATATTCGGTCACACCACCCAACTTAGTTCGCTTGGCATGCCCTATGGACCAGATGCAAATCAAAAGAAAGACCAATCCTTCTGGGTTTTCTTTTTTAATAGCAATAAATGGTATATGAATGAATGAATGAATGAATGAATGAATGAAAGGGTGGTCCAGTAAACAGACAAGGGGGCACACTCTATCATTACTCTCAAATGGTACCAAGACACGAGCTTCACAAACTAAACGGAAAATNATGAATGAATGAAAGGGTGGTCCAGTAAACAGACAAGGGGGCACACTATCATTACTCTCAAATGGTACCAAGACACGAGCTTCACAAACTAAACGGAAAATGACACAAGAAGGGAAAGGCTTAAGACACAGCATATCCACAGCAATCCGAACTCAAAATCATTTTAATGTAGAATCGTAAAGTAATGCACCATTAAAACAATATGCCCAAGTGAAGAACTAGTATATTTGCAAAAGAACATATAAAGCACATCAACAAAGCTATTATTTATTGGGTCGATTATATAAACAGTCCAAACACCGTGCATCTTAGCGCAGGATTTGGAGATGGGAGCACACTTTGGAGTCTATCAGAAATAACAAATGCAACAACAGTGTGTTAATTAGCCAAGAAAATTGCAATAACAGCACCTGTAGTAATGCTATTTAAGAAAGAATTTCACCTCATTTCCATCTATATGAAGCAATGAAATGCTTAACAGTGTTTGCGGCAAAACTAATAGTGATAATGAAAGCACATTCTATAATCTTCTGCAAAGGTATATTTTGAAACAAAATGGGACCAAAATACAAACGCAGTAAAAATTACATGGACATTGGAGGACACATACCTACTGCCAAAAAAACGATTAAGATGACATCCTCCACAGTATCAAATGTTTTGAGAAGTATAGGTTGCGCAACATCTGGGATTTTTGCAACACCAGACAATAGATGCATCATAGTTACTCTTTTTTTTTTCATAACCAGAATCATAATTACTTCAAAAATCCTCTTCTTCCACGGTTTTTCAAATTGCTGGGGATGATATATACAGAATCTACACAAAGCCCGCCTTTGGAATGTGTGCAATCAATCTGTTTCATAGAAAATCTCACCTCAGTTGGCGGATCTGACTCACTGACGATGAATTCGCCAACCTTGTACTCTATCCAACATCCACGCTTGTGGTTCCCATTTACATCATCTTGTTCACTTTCGTCTAAACAGCACTCACTTGATGCTTGCTGACCATCTGAAGTAGACAACTCAAATCGTACTGGCTTTATATCCCAACCATGGGTGTGTTCAAAATTGCAAACACGTCTTCCGAGCCTTTTGCCAAATCTTCCTAGGTGAATCCTGAATGACAGAGTGTAGATATCAGGAGGAAAAGGGAATTTTACAAACCCATCTACTTCAAACCACCATATTTGCTGCAAATAAGCCACAACATGGAACCTGCAACAAGATAGCAATCCAACAAACGGACATTCAAATTCCACATGTGCATCATTGTATGCGAAAATAGAGCAGTAATAAGAAATCACCAAAGCAAGCTGATTTATATGGCCAGTCTCTTAAACTTAGTGGAGTTTGCAGTTTGCAAAGCCACGAAGAAAAAAACAATGAACTTCTATCATCATGTCTGAGCTGATTTGTGTTCCAGCATAAACTCTAAGATCCTTTTCCAAGGAAATGTAAGATCATCAATGCCTATGCATCAACCACACATTAATTTGTACAACAATGAAGCATGAAGACAGGTTTGCCTCCAATTCCTTAGATAATCGTGGATGATTTCAAGAAATTATGAGCTCTTGCCAGTAATGTAGTACCAAGCATACCTAAATCATGTAGCAGCAAAACCAAACAAGTATTTCCACAAGGTGAGTAGAAAATGCTACGCTTGTCTCTCAACACGAAAGTGAGGACATTGACAGCAAGTACCATAAAGTTTACAGACTAAACAACATATCATCTTTAGACTTATTCATGAACTCAATCACATGCAGGCAAAGTACCAGTGACTAGTAAATAATTCTACTTACTTTAAGAGCTAGAAAGCAAATGCAAACTAACCAAAACAAAAAAATTGAATAAAGAAAACACTCAAAACAGAGAAAAGGCAAAAAAGTAAAACTCATTACTCTACAAACAAGAAGAAAAAAATATTGATTTTGCTGAAGAAATTTGCCATTCACCACCGTTGGCATGAAGCAGAACAAAAGCCAACTTGAAAAAACAGACCATGACATAATGAGACATCATGAGCAGGACAGTGAGACCAGAAAGTATTCTCAATGAGCCACCTTAGCTGCTGAATGAGACACAAGAGGAAGCTTTCCTAGGTACAGACAGAAAGCAATTGATGATGAATTGGAGAACAACAAATCCAAGGTCTACAGTCTAGTCCTTCTGGAATCTAGGTAAAGGCTACAGTGAGATTCCGACTGAGCAATGCAAAACACTAGTTTTGCTTTTCCATGTGCATTGCCCATATGACAGATAGGACTAGACCTGGCACGGGCAATACATCCAGAATTCATCAGACTGAATAACAGAAAAAGTGTCTCTGTAGTTTTTGGCTTTCCTTAGTTGCAGCAAGGATGTTGACATAGAATTTCTAAACTTGGATGTCTAAAGGCCTTTGCAACTATTTTTATTGATGTGGTAGGATTCACACCCTAAGCTAGAGTTGTATGGAAAAATGTAGACGGGATAAGAGCTGCTCCTGCAATCTGCTACCGCCACAATGGCAGTCCTTTCTACAATCAGTCAGTCCGCATCAGATATGTGATCATATATTTTGGGAGACGCATAGGTCTCCTCTAGAACCCTAGACGNATATGTAGACGGGATAAGAGCTGCTCCTGCAATCTGCTACCGCCACAATGGCAGTCCTTTCTACAATCAGTCAGTCCGCATTAGATATGTGATCATATATTTTGGGAGACGCATAGGTCTCCTCTAGAACCCTAGACGCCCAATTAACAAAATAACTTCCTTATCTTTCAGCTTCCTCCAAAAGATTGGTTTTAGATATTTCCCATAAACCAGTGCAATGAACAATCCATTAGTTTTAACCTATAATAACATATCCTACTGAATGATACAAAATTCCATTATAATGTTGGACAATTACTATTAAGTACTTAAAACACTTGAACTTGGTACTTAACCTATTAAATGCACTTGATATTGCATAGTAAACTGCCATTTAAAAGTAGGTTTCACTTCAAATGGGGCTCGTGTTTTAAGCCAAAAAGACTAGAGATATCACCTGCTATTAAACAGGCTTACTGGAAAGTAGTTGTAATCCCACAGCTGCCATACAGATAATATAATTTTTTGCTTTGTTTTTACAAGTCATTGTGTTGGACGTGTGTTGTCCACCTTTGATTTGGTTTTTTCTTTGTAATGTTTTCTTCTCTTTATTAACAACGTTACTGTTTCTTATCCGCCTGCCACACCCCCCCTCCCCCCGGGGGGGGCCCGGAGGAGCCATTGTTATCCTTACGTATTACTACATGAACTAACAATTTTCAATACTACTAAATCAGCACTTATATATTCAGAATTATTGAATAGCGCATCATGTTTACCAACCAAAGCATATAGACATTCGTTAATTTTACAGCACCATGTCACTCCAATTTCTTCTAAAATTCATTTTATGAAAAACACTATCCTGGTTTACTTCATTTGATCCATTATTTCACTAGTTTACTTCACAATCTGAAACCATCATTGCCAATCAAAAAGTTGAGATTTCCATTCAGAAGTTCCCGGAAACTTGCTTATCAACAACACACAATAGAATGGATAAATTTCCAGCTACAAGTATTCTATTAAACAAATTTCAAACCACAAATAGCACCAAACAAACTCTTCCTGTAATAAGTAGCACTAAACAACATAAATTCATCAAACTTTCTTTAGCTTCCACGATTTTAAAACATGAAAATATTTTTGACAAAATAAGCTCTGAAGCTGTTAAAGAGAACCACATGTTTAAAATTATTTATCTCCCAGCCCTGATAAAATCTAATTGATATGGTTCATAACATATAGTAATGAGCATGCCACTCTAATATGTCCTTTAAAAAAAAAGAGTAAGAATAGAGCATCAGCATCGTTTGTTGTTCCATGAGGCATCACCATCAAACTCTAACTTCAAGTATATTGCAAGTTTCGGCAGCGTCACAGGAAAAATTGTTACCGAACTAAAAGTTCCTCAGAGATTTTATCAGTGTCCATAATAAGAAAAAGAATAATGTTTGTAGCATCAGATTCAGATTGTTTGAATCTAACCTAGATTCTTCAGTAGGAATCCAATTCCAGTATCTGCGATCTTCAATCCCAGTAATTCCCATCGCCTTTGCTGAGATCGACATGCAAACTTTTCCAGTAACCCTATCCAACCATACTTCCTGTAATATATCTGACGTCAGAATAGTACATGTTAACTAATAATCAACACTTCATACCCAATACTAGAACTGCTCAATTTCTCAATCAATCCCCAAAAACAAGACTCAGAACACTGGCGGAAGAAAAAACAGATCTAAAGTGGAAAATCAAACTGACCCAAAACTCTATTTTTCTTCAAACATCAAGAAACAAATATTAAATGGTAACCAACCCTCCAAACCCAAACTAAACTGAATCAATGCCATAAATCCAGGATTCCTACAAAATTTCTATAAAACTAAAACCAGAAAACCAGATGCATTTAGGAAAGGGAAAAAAAGGCCCCTGAAGCTGTAAATCCCCCCAATTCTAGGACAATTGATATACTCTGTAGTACAAAATGAATAACAAAACGCCTCGATAATTTCATTTCAGATCATATCACCAACTGAAAGATACAAAAGTAACCAGACACTAACTCTCTCAAAATACCAATCTCACACAGATCGATTAAACAGCAAATAACGAAGCACCGACACAGCAAACCCATGTAGAAAAAAAGGAAGTTACATTGTAACGTTAAACCGCGAAAACAGATACCAAGTACTTTTTTTTATTGGTATAGCAGATCGTGGTAGTGGTTCGTTATACAACTGCAATTTGATTTTCGATGAATACTCGGAACACTGGCCAACGCTTCAGTCTTTAATCATTCAATCAAAAATACAAATTAAGCAGGAAATAACAAATTAAGAGATATCACTCCAAACAAGCACTAGAATTTCCCATGAACAGCAACTTCATTTGCAATGAATTCAAAGATAACTATCTCATTCCCAATCCATAAAAACAGAAAATTATAAAACCAAATTCCCAACACCCGAAAACTAACATCAAACTTTCCCAGAACCCCGATTCCCAATCCGTTTCAACAAAATTCCAAATAAATTAGTTCATTTAAATCCATTAAAAAAAAAACCTAAAACCCTGATTTCCAAACCTGCGACCAAAAAAGATTAAAAAAAAAACAGAAATTTGAAGAAAGTCGTGAGGAAGCATGCCTTGTTACCATCATNACCTAAAACCCTGATTTCCAAACCTGCGACCAAAAAAGATTAAAAAAAAACAGAAATTTGAAGAAAGTCGTGAGGAAGCATGCCTTGTTACCATCATCAAAGGGCACGGGTCGAGAGAATATGGCAAAGATGTCTTTTTTGGAGAGGTTTTGGTACCGTTCAGGAGGCATTAGGTCAAGCAGATCTTGGTATTTGGGAGGAAGCTTCGATTCCCAGACGGAGTCGGAGGAGGCGGCGCCGCGGAAGGCGCGGTTGAGCCTCGCGAGGTTGCAAATCTCCGGCGGAGTCAGGTAGTGGAAGACGCAAGCGACGCAGCTCTCCGGGATGTCGCCGAGGCTCGGTCTTCCACCGTTGGACTCTTCGGTCAAGTTCGACAACGACGCTCCCATCGTGCGGAGTAGCGTCTCCTTCTGTTCAAATCATTGTTCTGGTGGTGGCAGTAGCAGTAGTGGTGGTGGTAGAGACAGACGCCGTGAATGGTGGCTGTTGAGTTTAGTTACGAAAGCTTCCTTGGGTGGGGGTTGCGGAGGGGATTAATAGTAATGTGGAGGGAATTGACTGACACATCTGAGAGAGAGAGAATTTTGTTGCATGCCTTTCTGTCAATTCTGCTTCTGCTAATTTATTATTATCTTCCTCTAATTTCTTTTCTTCCCTTTTCCTAATTTCTAGTTGATGCGAAAGTTTCATAAATTTGTTAATTTCTATTCACACCCTTAAATTTCCTCTTATAGCTATTTATGCCAACTTTTAGTTGATACAAGAAAGCATCTATTTTAATTTTTGTAGTAATTTATAATGTTATACTAACACCCTTAAATTTTGATAAAATAACATGACAAACCCTTAATTTTATTTTTTTTAATTAAATAACACAATCAATGCATCAGAATTTTGGTTAGTGGAATATAACTATGAAAAGTCTACAGTGTTTGGGCGGTGAACAGTGTCAAACTATTCAATTTATACCACGTTAATTAATATATCCTTGCTCAAAAGTTGAGAGCTTGTTTATATATATATTTTTTATAAACACCCTGACGAGTATGCTAAGCACGTGCTTTTGACTTTAGTGGTGATTGATTATATGTTAGATTACCTTTTTTCTTTTTCTTTTTTCTTTTTACCGCCAAACAAGTATTTCTGGCCACGTATTATACAAAATAAAAAAAAAACATCGTGGGTCTCATAAAACTAAGATATTTATTCAAGTTATTAAATTAAGGGCATGCAATTTATATTATTTCGGGTGGTAGACTATGCATTATTTAAAATGCCAATGTTGGAGGTATTAGCCCTTTTGATGCCATCATAGTTTAAGGGATCATGATGTTATCGTCATTGTTTTTTCTCCATTGTGATAAGTTTTTTTTTTAAAGAGTATTGATAGACGGGGGGGGGGGGGGGGGGG